TGAGTCAGGGTGTCTCGATGGATTACAACAAGGTGAAAGCAATATTAGATTGGCAAATTCCAACAACAACAAAGATTCACCCTGTTTTCCATGTTTCTTTATTGAAACAGTGCAAAGGAGAACATCAGCACCCACACCTGCCTCTGCCTTTTCTCACACATGAACTTGGCCCTATTATTCAACCGCTTAAGGCGTTAAAATCAAGAGTCATCTTACATGCGGGTCAACATATACCTCAAGTACTAGTCCAATGGGAGGCGTTAGATAATTCTGAAGCTACTTGGGAAGATGTGTGTACCTTGCAAAGTGAGTATCCTAACTTCAACCTTGAGGACAAGGTTGATTTCCATGGGGAAAGAAATGTTAATAGATGATGCGTGTGGTGAGCAAGTAAGGGACGTGGGACCCAGTGGACACATGGCAAAAGTAAGAGGAAAACAAAGGCTACCGCAAAAGTGACAGAAAAAGAATAGTCAATTCTGCATTGAAGGATTTCGTGTGGGGCACTAAGTGATTATAAAAATAGAATTTGTTACATGAGAAAAGGGAGGAAAACAAATTATATGAATTGTCTCTTTCTCTCTCTTGGCCCTTTTGGGATATTCTTCTGTCATCTCTGTCATTTCTGTTAATTTCTGTATTTTTGTAACAAATTGTAAGAAATTCATGGTTGTTACTCCATCTTTTTCCTCATTATTTGAACTTTCCATATTCCATATTAGAACTCACATTGCTCTGCTATCATTATTGTCCATACTATCTCGGTTAATATCTAAGCTCATTAGGAACACAAAAATCCATGATTAATCCATATATACTTCTTAAAGAATTCAGGAAGAAAGAAGTCTCTTATTTGATTGCAGTAGATGAAAAAATTTTCAAGACTGATCTCATCACAAAAGCTCTAATCAGAATTAAATTCTTCCCAAAATGCATGGTATGGTCAAAAGTGATTGGAAGCAAGCTTCCGAACAAAGATATACTGATTGTATTTCCTAACAATTTATTCTATGACTCACAAACTTCATATCCTTCTTACAGGGAATAAATTCAAAAGAGAATTAAAATCTTTCACTGAAGTATCCAAACTCTTCTCTCTCTCTCAGAGGCTCTTCCAGACCTAGAAGTAAAAGTCAAGCTAGCCACCCTGTGTGCTAATAGTCATGAAGACTTTTGGCATCCAAATCCCTTGTGAAAAAATTCAGATTTCTTCATTCAACTTTCCTTCAAGGTGAAGATGTCAATCCCACAAAGGCTACATATCCTGGAATATCTCCATAAGATTTATAGTTGGCCCGACAAAAATGACAAGAACGGTTGAATAAGGTCTGATCAAACCAACCCAATCGAATTGAGTCTATCAAGCCTTTTATGTGGAAAAAATATCAGAAAAAATCAGAGGGAAAAAGAGGTTAGTTATTGATTATAAGCCTCTTAATCATTTTCTTAAGGATGATAATTTTTCAATCCCTAAAACCTCGTCTTTACTCACTCTGATCAAAGAAGCCTACATCTTTTCCAAGTTTGATCTTAAATTTAGATTTTGGCATTTAGGCATTGATCCTTTAGATAGATACAAAACTATTTTTGCATACCCAATGCCCAATATTAGTGGAAAGTAATGTCCTCTGGGCTTAAGGTAGCCACATCACTATTTCAAAAGGCCATGACAAAAATCTTTAAGCCTATACTAGACAAAGCAATAATTTACATTGATGATATTTTACTATTCTCTCAAGATATGGACTTTTATAGCAAGTTATTGGATCAATTTTTTAAGATATCCCATCAACAAGAAATCATGCTTTCCGAGAAGAAGATCCTCTTGGCCCAAAAAGAAATTGACTTTTTAGGCATGTATTTCTAGCAAGGCTCGTATCAACCTCAACCTCACATTGCTGAAGAGCTTCTTAATTTCCCCGATGAAAATTTAACAATCAAGTAAATCCAACAATTTCTTGGAATAGTCAACTACATTTGATAATTCATTCCCAACATTGTCAGATATACAAGTCCCTTGTCCAAGTTGTTGAAGAAGAACCCTCCTTCTTGGGGACCAAAATAGACTCGAGCAGTCAAAGAATTGAAGAAAATAGTTCAGTCTCCTCCAACTCTAAAAATTCCAGGCAATGAAAAAAAATACTACAAATTGATGCAAGTGACGACTTTTGGGGAGCAACTCTCATCAAAGAAGACAATGGGCAAAAAATATTACTGTGAAAATGCTAGTGGACAATTCAAAGATGCCGAAAAGCATCATCACACAATATTCAAGGAAGTCTTACCTGTCAAAAATGGAATAAAGAAGTTTGACTTCTATCTCATAGAACATCATTTTGAAGTACAGATGGACAACTCTTCATTTTCAAGGATCTTAGAGTCCAAAAACAAGATGTCTCCTAATCCTCAAACTAATGGATTGGTTTTCAAAGTATGACTTTTCTGTTAAACATATCAAAGGAAACCAAAACACAATTCCTGATTTTCTATCTCGACCTAAAAAAATTGTCCAATTGATTTCTAACACCTATAGTCTTCCCCTCATCTTTATGGTCAAGTCTCTTTCGAACAAAGTCAAAACTGTAAAGGTCTATCCTTCTGGATTGAACCCGACCTCGCATGCAGATATCCTCCGGTATGTGAAATTTCGTTGCTTTTACTTTCTCCATGAAACCATGAAATACAAAACCATCTCAGCCTCCATGTTTAATCCTGACATCCCTTTTGGGGGAATTTTTGAATTATTTTGTGAACCCAGATGAGATCTTTATGAACTAACACTTTGGGCGATATGGTATGACACTGTCCAATATTTCATCCCTGTTACATTAAAAATACAACAAGCCTATTGGATTTTGACAGATCCTCATAAAGAAAAGTTTCATTTCTGGACGTTATTAAAATGATTTTCACCTTTGTCTTGGTAGAGACAAGAACTAAAAATGATTTTGGACTTCCAGAAACAAAGAGGGATTTCTAAATCCTGCAGGACAATTATGGTCAAGAAGTGAAACCTACATCTCTACGAAGTCAACAATTATCATTACAAGCCAGTAGACCTCAATATTGTTAGCTCATCCCAAAGGTCACTCAGCTCTTGTCCTCTGAATCCAATCATCCCAAAAGATGATGACACACAAGAAATAAAAAATTTCAAATCAATTACTGAGATCTATGTACCCGAAGAAGAATTCCAAAAGGCTAAAGACTTAATGGATAATGAGGAATTAATGGAAGAAATGATGATGACAAGTAAAGCCTCGCATATGAACCATTATGGCTCCACATCTGACTCTAAGTAAAGATTTAATTAATGACTGTCATCATGACAAGTTACTAAAGAAAAATTCTCTTATCTTTACACGTGTCCATGAGTTACGCAAACGTGTTAATGAAGATGAGAACGAATCAACTTTACTTTATCTAAAAAGATAAGATATCTATGTTATCGTATCTTATATTGCCTATAACATATCTTATCGCATCTTATCTTGTCTGTAAGGCCATAATCAGTGTGAGCCACAATCTTATATTCGGACTCCACCTTGTATAATTTTGGGCCCAAATTTCATTTTAGTTTAGCAAAGTTTTCAGTTTCACTTATGTGGTTTGCCTATAAATAGGAAGACTTGTAATGTTGCAAATCAGAATGAAGTAAAATAGAATCAAGTTCTCTTTCTTAAAATGTTTCTCTTCTCTAAAGGTATGAAGTGTATAGTTTTTATTATCATTCTCTACTTAGATCTAAGTATGTTCTACACTTGACTCTTATGAGGATAATGTATATCAGAAAAGCTTCCGATTCCTGAAACCGTTTTATTGCAAAGTACTCTTCTTATGAGAAATATGAACTTAAGTGGACTTTTAAGCCGTAGTGGCACCGTTATGTCCGAGGAGGTTCATATCATCTTGATAAGAATAATAAATTTATAATAAATAACTTATGTTGTGGTAAAAAAGTTAATCTCCGAAAAAATTGTAATTATCTTCCTAAGTTTATATTATGAAATCATATTTATTTTTTTAGTTTTAAAATACACATCTTATTTTTAATAAAACGACATTAGGTTAAATGAATACTTACTTTCTTTGTATTTTTAATAACATTTTCTTTATATTTAAAAAAAGAGTGACATTCATCACCCTTATATTATTTATAATAAATAATTTTTATTTATATTTATAAAAAATCTTTAATTTATACTTTAAAACTTTATATTTTAATTTTCGTATATTTTTTAAAAAATTTAATCAATATCATATTTAAGTAAAATAACAAGAATGACTATCATTTTATTGAAAGAGAAATTATAGATTGATAAAATTCATAGACAACTGTTTTCATTAATTTTATATTGTTTTATTATTAAAAGGAGCTATTAATCGAATGTTTAAAAGGAACAAAGATGTTTATTATTATTAAAATCAATTATGTCTTGGTAGTTGCAATATAAGTTGCTAAACCAAATTTTCACCCCAGCTGAAATTAAAGGGTTCAACTATTCATAGGTACATAGCAAACAACAGCACATAAAACAATTTTGGTCTCTACTGTGTGACCATTTCATATAAAAAATCCTAAGGGATAAACATTTCAATGAATCCAATATCAGAAGACAAGATAACAAAGGAACCCAATATTCAGAAGCATAAACCCCAGGCATATCCAAAGCATATAGCACAGGCAAGGTAGGATCCATGATTCTCAATTACAGTTGCTGTCATATCATGATCCTTGACATTGCAAGATGCAGTAGCAGCTGCAGTCATTAGAAAAATATGTATGTTGTGGCAGCAATTGCAGTTGTGGACCACAATATATATGAATGGTTATGATTGAAGAATTACATTGAAGATCCAGAGCAATTAGTGGAGAAAAAAAAATGATATGGCAATACATTTGTATTATAGAATGCACAGTATGGTACAAAGTTAACTAAAACAATGAATAACACGGACCATGCTGGAAATACCCATGTATTTTTCAGTAAGTGCCTAACTCAAGTCAACATGAGATCATTCCCCACATTTGGGCGAAGGCAAACTCGAACTTCATGCTCTTCTGATCCTGGAAGAAGTTTAGGCACTGTTATCTCAAGCACAGATCCTGGCCCATCATAGTATGCTTCTATATTGGCATCTTCAGGAATTCGAGTTGGAAGTGGGATTTCACGAACAAACTCTCCGGGAGGGCAGTGTTCTGACAATGGCTCAGTAAGCTTGAATGTTCGGTCGTTTCTTGTAATAAATGGCTTGCGAGATATGCTCACACAAGAAACCTTTATGATACCGTGAGTGACGGTATTCCTCCAAGTAACCTTCACACTGGGAAGATCAACGAATGGCAGACTGATAATGATCAAGTAACCTTGTTCATCCTCATAAATAGTTTTTGCAGCTGTAACTGGTCCACTAACATTCTTCATCACCCCACTGAAGTCATTCAGCCAGAGTGATTCACTTGGGTGCATTACCAAATCTGGAATCCGATCTGATGGAGGATTAACTGCTAAGCAACATTCTTCATCATTCCCATAAAAGAAAAAGTCCTTCCTTTTCTTGCTGCTAATAGAAGAAGATAGGTTTATCCCATCACCGTTACCGAGGTTAGACAGATGAGTTGATAAATTTAGCACAGATCCATTAAGCAGCTTCTTTGGATGGGGATTTGGAACACTCTTGATTAGCGGAAGTGGTCTCTCGAGCTCGAAGTCTGTGTTGGGAAGATTCCTCCATGAACTGAAGTCGCTAGCTTCCGGTGGGATTGTGAAGTTCAAATCACGGCCTGTGAGTTCAATCCATTTCTTCTGCTCATCCTTATCAAGACTCATAAGATTAGGTGCTGGAACAACCTCAATGCCATGCACACATTGAGGATTTGAAAGCCCTCTATAATGCTTTCGCTGCATCCGGTGGGATCGAACGAAACCGCGATCAGCACTAAATGGAAATGGGCGTTCCCCTAGGCGGGAATGCCCATTCATGTAACTCCTCAACTGCATCTTACCCAAAGCATTCTCCGGCCTCTCCTTGAAAACCCACATGTACATGTTTTCCATGTCGTGTTGAACCATGAAAACATCAAGTTTGATATCAGACTTGTCGAACCCTGAAACACCATTGCTGTCCCTAACATCTTTGGCCTTAGATTTCTCAAGCAATGCTGGTTTGAAGTAAAATCTGAAGAAAAACCAAGCACCCCATATGCTATCAAGCCGCTTGGCGCATTTCCTTCCAACTTTGGGGAGTGGGAGAAAGCTCTCAGTCTCATATCCTTGAGTACCACCAAGACCAACATCCAGCACTGTATCAGAAGGGTCATGATTCCATGGCTGTGGAGGGGGACTTCGCTCAACCGAGAGGGGCAAATTGATATCAGGTGGACATGAGAGTGTGATTTTACCATTCATATCCAGATCCAGTTCCTGATGAGAAGAAGGTGCACTTGAATCCATGGACAAGAGTGTGGAGGGGTGATGATTCTCCAATTCCATCGAAAGACAACATGTGAGAAGTGAACCACCCATTGGATTGAACTACCTCATCAGCTTGATGAGTTTTGCTTCTGGTCGGTTTAATGTTGCCATCCCAAAAACAATTGAACAAAACAACCTTATAAACACCGTCATCATTCATATCAATCTCCACAACAATATCAAACCCTCCATTATACTTTTATTAAAAGGAAAAAAAAGAAAAAACCTAACTTACGAATAAGATAACCCAATCCTAAAACACCCACCGAAGAAAAACCATACACTGCTACAAGATAACAAAAACGCTATCCATTATAACAATCCTATCTTTTACCACGGATTCAATTTCAAAACTGAAATTACACATCTTTGTACACAGATACAATTCTTAATAATTTTCCAAAATATATTTAATCTAAAATTAGAGACACCCGAAAAGAAAATTGAAGGAGATCTTCAAGGAGTACCTCTGGGAATTAGCATCGAAAAATGAAAAAGACGAGGAGGCAGCAATGGCTAAGATGGTGGTCTTCTCCATCGTGTCATCCATACCATTGAATTCTAACCTAGACTTTTCTTTTTTTCTTTTTCTTTAACAAGGCCAAAAAAAAAAAAAAAAAAAAAAAACTATGTATTGGTGAGGCGGTGAGTATGAAAAGGAAACAGAGAGAATGGAAGAAGCAGAAACGTGATGAACCGTCTCACTGGAGCAAGAACCACGAAACAGGTTCCGTAGGTTAAACTAAAGCCTGCATTGATAGTGAACCGGGCCTGTTGGACCTGCCTGCCTTCCTTTGTCCATCGCTGCTACTAGATAAAGACTGCTTTTTTTAATAAACAAAATGTTATTTTTAAATAGGAATTAAATTTTTAATCTTAAATATAATTTCACTGATAATATTTTAAATAAAACGTATTTTTTTAATTACGATTAATACATTTCTCCAATAGTAAATTGTTTATTCTTGTATTCTTCATTTGTTATTATTATAAGTTAAAGGAAATTTATTTTTTTATAATCGTTTATATTGTTTGGAGAGAAAAAAAATTATATATTATATATAAAAGATATTCTCCTTCTTATAATATGTTTGGTGTTATTAGAGAATATATATATATATATATATATATATATATAATATTATGATTTATACAAAAAAAGATAATACAAGAAAAAATTATCATAATTTATATATTTAAAAAATTAATATAAAAATAAGAGAAAAATGTGATAAATATAATGAATGGAAAAAATATATAAATATATTTAAATAATGAAAAAAAAAAGACAAAATAAAATTTGAAAAAATATATTTTAAAATACATTAATAATATAGAAAATATTAACTATAAACGAGATAGATTTGATAATTTTTATTTTTAAAAGGTTTAATAGGAAGGTTATTGAATTTTGAAAAATAATACACGTAATGCATAAAATTAAACGATTAATTTGATCTCGTCATTTTTATTTATATTTTTATAGGGGATAGATAAGATAAATAGAATGAATTAGAAGAATGATCGATAAATAAATTGTTCTTCATGTTAATTTAGAATTTTTAATTTAGACGGTAAAACTCTTACTTTTTTTCCAATATATGATTTTCAACACCATTTCTTTCAAAAAGCACTATAAGAATCAACATTACATAAATAAATAAATAAATAAAACTTTTAAAAAGAATTCATTAGATAAATGAATTATTTTCTGCCCCGATTTATAAGTTTTATAGTTAACATGGTAAAACTTTTACTCTCATCTATAGATGATTTTTAGCAACCTTTCTTTTTCTTTTAATTATAAGAATCAACGTTATATTGTTGAAAACCTTTTGAAACTTTTTCACTAGAGTTTTGGCGTAACTTGACATGGTTTCAGCACCCTGAACTCTAAATGCCACAAAATATTGTCTTCATTCGTGTTGGCCTAGATATATATCTAGACAAGATTGACATTTTAATCAATTTCATCAATTAGTTAGTTGTGAATTTGTTATTAATTAGTAAGGAAAGTTTAAACTAGGTATATTAGAAATTAGTTAATTTTTATCCTAAAAAAAAAAAGCGGAATTCTATGACTTATGTTAGATGATAATTTAGTAATTAGAATGTAATGATTGTTTTAGTTAAGTTGATTAGTTTAATTAAATTCAGTTTTTGTTATAAATATTGTGTTTGTACAGTAGTTGTTTATAATAGTTGTATGAACTAATTCGCATTGATAATACAATTTACCTTTAGTATTATTCTCTCTCTATATATAATTGTTCTAGTCATCCCTTTCTCTGCCAACAGTGATATTAAGGGCTTCAAGATCTGGAAAAAAGAAGAAGAAGAATGACGATAGCGGGTACTGGATTGCATGATAACATGCAAGTGCTCAATAATAAGAACCTGAATGGGTACGAGAGTTGGTGTGTGAAGATGAATGTCATTTTTTGTTTTCAAGATGTCTTAGACGTAGTTATGAATGGATATGAGGGGCTATCGGAGAATCCCACCAAGGCACAACGTGCAATATTTCAAAAAGAAACATGATTGCAAAATTATATTCTACATACATTAGTATGTTATGAAAGCAATTTTGAAAAGATTTTGTTGGCAAACTTGGCAAAAGAAGTTTGAGATATATTAACGCACAACTATGCAGGCAGGGAGAGGTTGAACATGGTGTGACTTCAAGCCTTACGTCGTCAGTATGAGTTATTGTAAATGAGATACAATAAACCATCCAAAATTTTTTTGCAAGATTGTTGTCGGTCATAAACTTGATGAAACATGTGGTGAAATTTTGAAAGAACAAGCAGTGGTGGAGAAGATATTGAGAACCCTCGATGTTAAGTTCAATATAATTTCTATAGCTATCGAAGAGGCTAAGGATCTTGATTTGTTGAAACTTGATGAACTACAAGGGTCAATGGAGGCTCATGAACAACGGTTACGTAAGAGAGCGAAAAAGAGGTCAAACACAGAACAAACATTGTTGATGAAACAAAATCAGAAGAATGAAGGGAGTCTAGGAAAATTGAACAAGAGAGGTCGAAAAAGAGGAAGAGGTAGAAACAATGGTGGATGAGACTCGGAAGGGAAACATGAGGGTTTTTCACAATCAAGAAGTGGTAGAGGTAGAAACATAGTAGAGAGGTGACAAACACAAAAACTCACAATAGAGAGGTGGTCAATTGGGCTCTAGTGAAAGTAAGATAAAGGTACAATGTTACAATGGTTACAAGTACGATCATTATGCTATTGAATGTTGGAGCAAAGAAGAAGAAACAAATATTGTACAAAAAGAAGACTTAGATGGTGAAGTATTGTTATGGTGACCATGACGAAACTAGTGGAGACTTTCAGTGAATCTTGGTATTTGGATACTGATTGTTCGAATCACATGTCTTTTCAGAAGATTTAATTTGTTGATCTAGATGAAAATGTGAAATTAAATGAGAAATTTGCAAATAATTCAATAATGAGCTGTGAAAGGAAAAGAAAAATAATGATTAGAAGAAGAAATGACAAATCTGCAATAATTTTGTATGTGTTCTATGTTCCATCCATAAAGCATAATTTGTTGAGTATTATTTAACTTCATCAAAAAGGGCATTTAATCAATTGGTAATCAAGGGAGCAGATGTTGAGAATCCTAAAAAAAAATCAGACATTGATTTTGAAGGAACCTCTTAGAAAAAATAGATTTTTTTTAGTCGATATTCCAATATCGAATAACTTGTATTTTACAGTAGCAGTCTCTGATGTTGATTGATTATGACATTTGAGATATAGTAATTTTGGTTTCGATAGTTTGAGCCAACTTATATTGAAGGAGATGGTGATTAGACTATCTCAAGTCCAAAAATATAAAGACATATATGAAGGTTATATGATAGGAAAACAAGCCAGAAATCTATTTAAGGTGCGCATCGAGATAAGAATCAAGAATGTGTTGGAAGTTATCTATATTGATGTGTGTGGACCGTTAAATGTTTCTTCATTTGGGGAAAACAGGTATTTTGTGACATTCATCAATGACTATAGCAATAAGATGTGAGTGTATTTACTCGAAAAGAAGTTAGAAGTGTTTAGATGTTTTGTAAATTTTAAATGATGGTCGAGAAACAAAGTGGTAGAATTATCAAAGTGTTGAGATCGAATGGTGATGGTGAGTATAACAATGTGAGTTTGCATCATTTTGCAAGAGAAATGTATTATGCATGATATTGTATTCTCGTGCACACTATAACACAATGAAGTGACAGAAAGAATAAATCAAACGATTTTAAATATGATTAGAAGTATGTTGAAGACTAAAAGACTTGCCACATTTATTTGGGGAGAAGAGGTATCGATAACTGTGTACATCTTAGTATATACCCAACAAAGAGAGTAAAGGAGAAAACACCAGAGAGGAAGTATGGTCTGAGAGAAAGTCAAATATAAAACACTTAAAAATATTTGGCTAGATTGTGTGGAGGCATGTTCCCAATGAGAGTAGGAAAAAACTCGATGACAGAAGTTAAAAGTTAATTTTGGTAGAATATCATTCGACTGGTGTGTATAAGTTGTATGATCTAATCAAGAGAAGATCATCGTTAATAGAAATATTGTTGTTGAGATTATTGGAAATAGGTTTCGGTGGAGAAAAATTGAAGTGTTAGCTTCGATGACTCAGGTGATGCAGAAATCAAAAGCAAAGATCGATTTCAAAAAGTGAAGGAGAAGGAAATCGATCGAGATTAGAAATTGAACTGAAATCAAAGAAAGTATAAATCAAACAATTTTAGTAATTGAAGGAAAGAGAAATTGACCTACAAAATCAATTAAAATACTAGTAAGACTTAATGATTATGTGATCAATATTGATGACATTGTTACAACAATAGGACAAATCACTAGTGCAAAAAGGGGCTTTTACGTCAGGTATTTAGGGCTTTTTACGTCGTATTTAAGACTGACGTTAAAACGGGAGACGTAAATTTACGTCGGACCCTTTAGCCCGACATAAATTTACGTCAGTTATCAAGACCCGACGTAATTTTACGTTGCATATA